GGGTGCGTTCACTTTTTACGCTCACGCGCATTAAGCACTCACGCTTATAAGCGTTATTTTTAACCGTTTATTTTTGTTTCGCTGTGCTGTAAATGCTTTTGTGACGTCAATCAAATTCGTTTACTTTTGGTTTTGTTAGCGATTCAATAATAAATAAACAACAATTAATACCTATATTATTTGGACAAATGTCAACACTTTTATCAATTGACGATGAAGAGGATCATGATTCTCATATTGACAATACCGAAATGTGCATAATTTTATATAAACACTTAAATAAAAGAAAAATACCTCGTTTAGAAGGTTATGTAGAAAATGTGATATCACGTTATAATGATACAGAGTTTAAATCACATTTTAGGTAAGTATAAGCGATATATTTTGTGTATAAATATTGTAAGTTTTAAATAATTTTCAATAATAAGAAAAATTTATATGTTTATTATATAGTGCAAGTCAATAAAATTATTGGTTTAAATATTTCTGAAAAATGCATTATTCTAAAAATATGTTTAAAAAAATAATAAACATAATGCTTTTCTTCCGAGATATTTGAGATAATAATTTCTAATGATTTATTATATATATGTATATATTATTATAGAGGACACATTTTTCTATAATATATATGATTTCTATAAATGCAAAATCATTTATATCTTTTTCCTTTCAGAATGAAACGATCATCGTTCAATTATATTTTTAATATGATAAGAACTTCATTAATAAATACTTCAAACTGTGGACGTAAAAAAATATCACCCGAAAAACAATTTTTAATTGCAATATGGAAAATGGCAACTCCAGATTCATATCGGTCCGTAATTTATATTTTAAAAATTATTTTTAAGTATTTATTTAATTTCTGTACATATAATTCTTTTTTAATTAATCATTTGATTTCTTTCAGATCCATTTGTGAAAAATTTAATGTATCAAAAGCCACAGTATTAAAATCTGTAAGAAGAGTGACTAAGGCAGTCACACACTGAACTTGCTCCTCTTTTTGTGAAATGGCCAGAAGGTAATAGAGCAGAAACAGTTATTAACAGATTTGCTGCAACTAGTGATATTCCCGGAATAATAGGAGCCATAGATGGCACACATATTAATATTAGAGCACCACATATAAATCCTGAATCTTATGTCAACAGAAAGGGACATCATAGTATACAATTACAAGTATAATTTACGTTATATATAATCTCTTAATTTTTTAAATTTAGTTATATATAATTAAATTTTTTTATTTATTATTAATAGGCTATTTGTGATCATGAACTGCTATTCACTCATTGTCTTGCTGGACATGTTGGTTCCGTTCATGACCAAAGAGTGTTTCGCTTATCTGAAGTTTCTGACTATTTAGAAGATGAAACAAAATTTTCTAATGATAGCCATTTAGTGGGTGATGCCGCATACACTCTTCATGAGCATTTAATGACACCGTTTCGTGACAACGGACACCTTACAGATAGACAAAAAAATTATAATTTTTGTCATTCATCCGCTCGAATTAAAATCGAGCAAGCATTTGCTCTTCTCAAGGGGAGATTCCGAAGTTTACTTACAGTTTTGGACATGCAACGTACTGATTTAATCCCAGAGTTTATTATTGCTTGTTGTATTTTACACAACATATGTCTACTGCAAAATGATATTTTAATTGAATTAAATTTTTTAGAAAATAATGACATTGAAACAGTAACTGAAAGGAGAAATAAGGAAGGTCAGAGAAAACGGAAGACAATTTGTGATAATTTAATAATAAGAAAATAAGAATTTATTTTTGCAATATTTACACTTACATTAATATAACATAACTAAAATGAAAATTTATATTTGGCATAAATAAAGCGTTTTGTAAGTATAATTGCACGTATAATAATTATTATGAGTATTATTAAGAAATAAGTGTTATATGGTTATATTGCAGGTATCAATAATAATGTATTATACATAATATAGTAATATGAAGTATAGAATCTAGTATAAAATATATTAAATATAGATGATTACAGTAAAAGTTATTTTTTTTCTTTCAAAATGTCTATCATTTCTTTAAAGGTTTGAATAAGTACGCCACGTTGCTCTTTATTTTCATTATGTCTTCTTTCCAGAGCTGCTTCTGCAGTTCTTCTATCATTTTTTAAATCTTCCATCATTTGTACTGTATAAGATATTTGCCCCTTTCTCTCTAAATATCATAAATAAATACACATTATTGCATACAGATAAATTAATACATTTTTATAAGTTAATATTCCAATATTGCAATCTTAGGATTCATAATTCTTAATCAATTTATTAATTAAAATTATAAAATGTTAGAAATATTTTCTATTTAAAAAATATCATCAAAATATTAGTGAGAATTAGATTATTATTTATACACTTTAATTGAATTAATTAGTAAAAGCTTATTGTAAAAAATCAATTGCAAATAATAAAAATAACTCTATAGTCAATAGTGAACGATATAAGCGATGCTTATAAGTGCTTAAAGCGCGTGAG